AGGAAGCTTCCAAATTCGTTTGTCACCGATACACTGGTGCCAGATATGTATTCTATCCCTTTACTCTTTTATCTGTGGAATTAACATTTTTCTGCAGGTATCGGCGTATATAGAATGATTTAGGATCGCAGAACGTCTTAAATCATTCTCCGTCCCTATCGGCTACTTTGACTATTGTTTTCGAAACTGACGTTTCTACAAACTCAGTCAAAGTGGGGGCTTCTGTAGACACCTAAAAATGTCTCCCCAAAACCAAACCCGATGATAAATAACCTTTCACCGCTACTATTGGTCGAGTTTAGTATTTAATCTCGAGAGTGCTTAAAAAAAGTGTATTTTATTAAATTCATATTTTTGAACAGTCCATGGATTAGTCTTGATATTTGGTAAAAGCATAGTTTTAATTTCAGCCCAAACTTATTAATTAATTTTTAGCCCAAGCCTTTTTATTTTATTGTTTTATTATTTATTTTTGGCCCAAACCCTTTTATTTTTTTATTTAATTATTTTCTTATTTTAGCCCGAATAATAAAAGTCAGAAAAAAGCCCGAAATTATCAATCAGCACTTAAAAAGCCGAAAGAAATTAGGGTTAAAAATGAATTTAGACGGAAAAATGGACTGGAAGTTCCCGTGTCACGGCAGACTGCCACTGTGTCACGGGAACCCTTCCCGTCTGACGGTGGGACTTCCCGTGACACGGGAGGTCTGCCGTGACACGGGACGTTCCGTGTCCTTTCCGCGTAAACCCTTAACGCGTTTTTTATTCCGTTTTCTTAAAATTTCCCGCGTCACTCCAAAACTGTACCGTATCACGGGAAAGTGTACCGTCTGACGGTACAGTCTGACCGTGTCACGGGATACTTTTTTAGGGTTTTTATCATTTTAGGGTTCCGTGTGCTCCCTCAGCACATTTTCCCTATAAATACCCCCTCATTTCTGATGTACGGGGCACCGAGTAATTCTCTTATTTTATTTTCTCTCTTCTATGTTTTAGCCTAAACACTAGCCTACCCTTTTCACTTCAAAATTCCTTCTTCAAGCACTTAAAGGAGTCCATATTTTACTCGAGGTTCTATCCTTAAGCCAAGGCGTGAAAGGTAGAATCGTTTGAGGGTTTGGCCCCAAAATCAACCTTATTTAATTTAATTTAATTTAGTTATTGTTTTATTATTTCCTTGAAGTTACTAACTCGTTTATTATTTTGTAGTTGCAAACAGACAGATTCAAAGTAAGGATCATGCTCCTTTATTATTATTTTTCTAACGATTTTATGTTGTTGGAATTGTGATTAAATTGGTTTTTATATTAATGTTGATTCTATTATATTTTTTATGATCACCATATTGCATGTTTAAAGGAATATGTAATTGAAAATTACGCCTAATAAGATAATTTGGACAACCGGTTTAGGATCCTTTTTAATCTTATTATTAATTGAAGTGATCACCAAATTTTTAGAATTATGTGTGCATTAATTTTGAACCAATTTAGTTAAATAATAGTTTGGAGCGAATTGAATTATTGTTTGTATGCTTTGAGATCACAGGAATGCTTTTCAATATAAGAATCGAGTAGAGACCAATACGGGCGAATGTGACTCCATGTCTCACTTCGTACCATCATCCCCGATCCTCCTTTCGTGGTTCCGAACCATATGGAGTTAGTAATCTCATGGATTATGAATGGGGTGTAACCTTCACGGGTTAATCGTTGTTGCCTATCGTGGTTGCCTTTTATGATCCGTGAACGGTTTACAAGTTCCTTAAAAACTTGTTGGCGGCTCCCTACTTTCCTTGTCCCTAATCGTATTATGTCAATTCCCACTTCTTATGAGTGCCAAGCATATTCACCACATGCTTTAACGTAGGCGCACTTCGAGCGACGCCCACAACAAGTAAGTAATTTAATTACTTTGTTATTCTTTTGATGTATAAATCATGCTTTAATTATTATAATTCCTGGTAAATGTTTAGCGTAATAACTAAGATTTACAATATCGTGTACGTTTCTATGGGATGCTTCCTATTTTTCCTTCTATCATGTTAGAATCATGTTAGGGCTAAAGATTTGATCTTTAATGTTTAGTGACATGCTAGGATTTGTTATTAATCTTGTTAGTATCATGCCTAGGATCTTGATAATATTATTATGCTTTATTGAGATTGAATATTATTATTTTGATGAAGATCGTTGTTTGATACTCTCTTCGTTTTAAATACTTGCTCCACTTTCCTGTTTCGGTTGTTTTTAAATACTTGCTCCGTTTCCTTTTTTGGAAAGCTTTAACAATATTTAATTAGTTTCTCTTACCTAGTGGACCTACCATAAACCATATTTTATTAATTTCATCTTCTCTCTCTTCCAATTCTCTCCACTACTTTTGTTTTTTACATTTCTTAATCTTCCACCTACCCCACTACCTTCATATTTTCTTACTTTCTTCAATTTCTCCTAAATCTCCGCACATGGAGAAATAGAGCAAGTATTTAAAAACGGAGAGATTAAATATTTTTATTGTTATTGCTTGATCACGCCTTTTATGTATGTTTAAAGGGAATTTATATTTGTATTCACGCTTAATAAGATAATTAATAATCTTGTTTAGGCTAATATGATTATAATTCAAGTGATCACCAATAATAGATTTGTTTGTGCATAAATATTCAACCAACATAAATAAACAGTTTAGGGTTAATCTAATGATCGTATGTTAGTCAGCAAGCGCATATGAATACAAGAAGAATAAAGTAGATGCCTATTTTAGGGCAAGTTCAATCTCTTTTAGGTTGTATTTGTACCTACATCCCCAAATATCCAGTCATGCACTAGTGGAAAAAAGCTTATCCATAACGGGCAAAAAAAGGTTATCCGTAACGGGCAACAGGCGTTACGAATATGGCCGTTACGTATAAAAATATTATTTGTAACAGGCACTTGTCCGTTACGAATAACCAGTTATATGTAACGGGCAGGTTAAGTGCCCGTTACAAATACAAGGTTATTTGTAATGGGTAGTAAAAGTGCTCGTTACAAATAGCCAGGTATTTGTAAGGGCACTTTGACTATGTAACGGACGCTTTGACTGCCCGTTACAAATAGCCTGGTATTTGTAACGGGCACTTTGAATGCCCATTACAAATAACCTGGTATTAGTAACGGGCACTTTTATTGCCCGTTACAAATAACCTGGTATTTGTAACAGGCTCTTTGACTTCCCGTTACAAATAATGGCTTGAAGAATCAAAATATTAGGGGTAATTGTAACAGGCATAACAGGGGCTTGTTACAATTACCCCTTTTCTTTTTCCATTCACATCTTAAATCATCATTTTTTCCATTCACATCTTAAATCATCATTTATAATAATTAACATACAACAAAATCCCTAATGTTGGTTTTCATGCCACAAAGGCACAAATATATTATCAAAACATGGCACACCAAATTTTTAATTTACATCTCCAAAAACTGTTATAATCTTGTAAATTTAAAAAAGCTAATAATTAAAAATCCGAAACCAAAATGGAAAACAAATAAAAAGCAGCCTAAGAGCATAGTAATAGAAGCAACAACCATGTTTGAAGTAATTGACATCTAGTCAGCAACAATAATAACATCCTAAAGCAGCAGTATCAGTGCAACCAAGGAGCAACAACCAAGAGCAGCAGCAGCAACTCGCAGCAACCAAGAGCAGCAACTCGCAACGTCCAAGTTAAGAAAATCACATTCATATACATCAAGGCTTTCTTCTCGATTAACTTCTATCGCATTATGGAAATTTAAAGCAAGATATTAGACATTGATTTACCAAAGCTAATAAAAGATTTATAAGAGGACAGAGGGAGTATAACTAGTACCTTTATGGACCTCTTATCCTCTAAGTCAATTAGATATTCTGTAGTGCCAAACTGTGCCGATACCTTGACTTCTTTTCCGTTTTAAAGATCCTTTGAAGCACCCTTATTGCTTTTAAATTTTTACTGTGTTAATAACATTGTATATTAATGGAAACGAAGCTACTGACTACTGTTACTGTATGATGGAAAACAGGACAAGAAAAGAAGTGAGATATACACTACTTTGTCTTCATAACCACTTAACGAATGACTGAACTTTTTCTTGTTATCAGATGCATTAGATGAATGAAAAGTGATCCTAATATGACATCAATCAAAAAACACGCGACCCTAGGGAAAAGTATGTAAGCCTTGTTAATTTTGTCATCCAGAAAATAGTTTAGTGTAGTTCTTGTAAGTATCGAAAGCAGACAGTAGAGAACATCTCAGTAACAAACATCCTCAACTTTTAAAATGGAAATACTGAGCTCATAATAGAAGGAAAATACCTATTACAACAGTATTGCTAGCAGAGACCACCTCTACTAATGATAAACCTACTAATTCCCAAGCATATTGTGTGGTCAGATTTTCGATACTGAGGACTACTCCACCAGCCATAGCAAATAACACCGAGGGCCAGTTATCTTGCATCAAATAACCTTAAAATGTAAAATCATCACTAGTGCTGTAAAAAATACAGAGACAACTAATTAGTTAATTGTATAAAGTTATGTTTCTACTGATTCTCCTGACAGATGCATCAGTTAGTCATATTCTTAAATTAAAAGCCATATTACATCTTATTTGATGAAAGGAAAGAACTAAAAAAAAATAAAGGAATTCCTCCCATCAAATCTTCTAATGAATAAATGTGCATTCCTTCTCAAAATTAATGCAAGCTTGCGACACATTGACTTAGCAAAGTTCTCTAGAGAAATCATGATTACGTTTTGTCATGAATATCCTAAAATAATTCAAAGTACAGATTATAAATTTTGAAAAGCCATCAAAAGTATATTTGTAACCATAAAAGGCTACATATATCATTCAATAAAATATGATTGGATAGAAGACATATATGATTGGATCCATACTACATAGTTTAATATAATTGTACCATTAGTCCATTAGTACTCAAGGAATTTTTTTTTTTTTTTGATGTGTAGCAGATTATAACTACAAAAACAAGAAACTATATTTGTCCATCTCTTGCACAACCACCATATACAAATAATATAATAATCAGATATATGTACAATTCCATGATAATTAACCAAACTATATTACACTCTTTACGCTTCAAAAGAAAAGACTCCCACCGATTATTTTTCATCACTAGGGTGTACATTTGCTTTTGTAGAGGCTTGATTTCAGCAGGAAAAAAAAAAAGATTTCACAACCTAAATCAAGCTAGACAGCAGGATATGCCCAAACTAGGAAGCTAATACAGAGCAACAATAGTACTTTATAAAACCATCAGGGAGCAATGAAAATCAATACAAGACTTATTGATAAAAAAAAATACGAAGTATACAAACCGACCAAACTAACTAGCAGCATTGTATATCATGACACACATAAAGCATATGACTGAAAAATTGAGCTGCCTACTTAAAATTTTCATGATCGCTTGCAAGGTCGAACTTAATTCCAATCAACTCCCCATCAGGTATAGTTGAAGCCTCACTTTCCTCCATTTTTGAAAGAACAAGAAATTTGATTCAGCTTATGGTGGCATACAAGAGAAAAGCACTCCTAGGCAAGAACATCGACATATACAATAATGAGTGAGCACATGTGATTAAACCATAATAGATTAAAAGCATATTTGAAAACAAGGTATTCCAACCTGCCAAACATCACATGCTTATCTTATTATTGCAAAGCAGCTGCACTTTCTGAGTATCAACAGACCTTAAGCTTGTTACAACTTAGAACGACAACAGCAGCAACAACATCAGCAAACCAACAAGACATAAAAAATGAGTTAAGAATTCTAGAGGAGACTAAACTTTCAAGAAATGTAAAAATAGGTGACTCTAGTTTCAAAAGTGAACTTTAGGGGACTCAAATCGGTTGATCAAGTTATGACCGGTTTTTTAACCTGTAATAGCAAGTTTCCAAAAAAAAAAAGTTACTGATCATTTGACATCATTTATTCATTTTCCATAATTGCCAGACAAACACATTTGCAATCAAACGTTAATATCAATAATTCCGTTACAAATAAGGATAAATTTCTCAACATTGCATCTAAATTATTCACTTTATTTCTAACAAACTTGAAAACATCATCAATTCAATTCAAATTCTAATTTCAGAAAATTAACAATGCAAGCATCAAACATTTAAATAAAATCATACCCACAACAAAAAAGAGAAACATACTAAAAGATTACTCAAAAACACTAGATATGTTCATAAATTTTGAATTAAACACTTGAAATTATTATATTTATACATTTAATAATAACCCCAAATCCAATCCCAAACAAAGTAATTAAAAAAATTAAACAAACTTACAAGTCGAGATTGATGAGTTGATAATTCCAATGTACTTCCAACTCTAACAAAAAAACCCTAAAAATTATGATCCTACTGAATTTAAAAAAAAAAAAAAAAACATAATTATTGCAGTGGTAAACTGTAGTATATAGAAGGAAAAAGTAGTTTACTTAATAGGATACGATGTAAATGAAAATGTAGGAAGAAAATTCAAAGGAAGTAAATATAAAGAAGAAGATTATTCTTTCTAAAACTGAAAAGATTCTTTTCAAAGAAATATGATGGATCTTTGAAACGTTTTAAGTATAAAACTTCAACAGTTTATTTTTTATTTTTTCCCGATGCAATTAAAAGCTTGTTAGTGACCAAAAATAAATAAATTTAAATCAATTAGTATATGGTAAGCGGTGGTAGAAGGTCACCCTGGCCGAAGTTATAGGCATAGTCACTTGCTTTTAACTTTCGAAACTACAGTCCCCTCTTTTTACATTTCTTTAAAGTTCAATCCCTTGTAAGAGTCTTAATCCATAAAAAATCAAAGGCTCTCACAAGACCGTCTCATCTTGTGTATAAATCATGAGAATAACCAAGTGCACTGATAATTATTCATCTTGTTTCAGGCTTACAGATGTCATTCGTAATTACATTGACCAGTCCAAACAAATATGTAAGCCATTATGCACAGAAGGGATGAACAACCTTTCACTGCCAATATTCTTCAGGTTGAGTATTTAATTTTTGGAGTACTTAAATCCATGTTTCCATTCAATACATTTCATAAACCACTCCATTTCCTATCTCATTTCCCTACACCATAACTTGTTTTCCTCTTTTCGTGTCCACATCGCAAACCCGAGAGAAACTGATTTTTTTTTGCCGTATAATTTTGAAATAATTATTATTTGTTTAGGTAGGCCTTTTAATAAGTTTTCCAACAATATATCATAAGGCTAATTCCGATTTAAAACAAAGAAGATATGAGCCAAACACTAAACTCGGCCCAAAACCGACACCCTTCTACTAAAACGGTCATATACTAAAATCTACAAATAATTTTGACCTGATACAAATTTGGTTGGAAAGTTGACTTGATAATCTTTCCAATGATATATTATAGCTTTATTATAAGTTTTGGATCAAAAGTAATTATTATTTTAAAAAACGTGTTAAAAAATTGGAATTACCGCGCATTAAGCAAAATTGCCGTGTCACGACGCGTGATGACGTGGCGCGGTGCCCGGTACTGGACATTGTATTCTTCACGTATCACGGTGATTTCTCGTGTTTTTTCAACGTCCCTTTTCTCACGCGCTTATGAACTTGGACGCAAAAAATGTCACGCGTCACTCCATATTTTACTGTGTCACGGTGCATCCGCGTCACTCCATATTTTTCCGTGTCACGGTGCATATGGAGTGACACGGGAATTTCTCGGGTTTTCTCCGCGTAAAACCAAAAAGGCGTTTTATCTTTTTAGGGCTGCTAATTCCCCGCGTCACACTATTTTTCCCCGTGTCACGACATAGTTTGCCGTGTCGCGACATAATTTTCCGCGGCGTGACATGATTTGCCGTGTCGTGGCACTGGTTTTAAGGGTCTTTATCTTTTAGGGTTTCATGTGTTCACTCAGCTCCTTTTCGCAATAATACCCCCCTCCTTTCTACAGTTCGGGGCACAAAATCATTCTCTCTTCCTCTCTTCTACACCAAAAAAATCATTCTTTCTTTCTCTCTCATATTCTAAACCTTAAACCTCTCTTCCTAATTACACCATTCTTCCTTTAAGCACTCCAAGGAGTCCATACTTATCATGAGGTTCTGTCCTTAAACCAAGGTGTGAAAGGTACAAATAACTGAGGGTTTGGACCAAATAAACTCTACATTTATTTAATTTAATTTCCATTTGATTTTTAATTTTTATTGAAGATAATAATAATTTATTCATGATGTAGCAATTAAAAGGAACAAGCGGAATGTGAGTAATTAATTAATTTAATTACTCTTATTTTATTATAATATTGCTATTATCATGATTAGTTTATTTTATATTTGATTGGACTAATGTCATTATTGTTAAATTGCTTCCAATATTAATGTTTATTCTATATATTATTATTATGATCATCATATTGCATGTTACAGGGAGTATGTAATTGAAAATCACTACTAATAAGATAATTTGGACAACCGGTTTAGGTTCCTTTTTAATCTTGTTATTAATTCAAGTGATCACAAATATTTTATAATTATGTGTTGTATTAATATTCAACCAATTTAGCCTAATAATAATTTGGAGCAAATTGAATATTTTTTTTGTATGCCATTGAGATCTCATGAATCACTTTTCACTATAAGAATCGAGTAGAGGCCATTACGGGCGAATGTGACTTCATGACTCACTTCGTACCATCATCCCCGATCCTCCTTTCGTGGGTCCGAACCATATAGAGTTAGTAATCTCATAGATTATGAATGAGGTGTAACCTTCAGGGGTCAATCGTTGTTGCCTACCATTGTCCCTTATTCGTGGTTGCCTTTTATGATTTGTGAACGGTTTACAAGTTCCTTAAAAACTTGTTGGCGGCTCCCTACTTTCCTTGTCCATAATCGTATATGTCAATTCCCACTTCCTAAGAGTGCCAAGCATATTCACAACATGGTTAACCAAGGCGCACTTTGAACGACACCTATAATTTGGCGACTCCACTAGGGAGGATTCTTGGTTATTTATCGACTTGAGTGATCGGTATTTAATTAAGATGAGTGGATGAGACTTGAAAGTTTCTTGAAAATATTCTTGTAATTAAATTGGCATTTTTACATATGCATAGATGTTTTAACGTCGTATTTAAGGTCTGTCCCGTCGGAAAAATTGGATAACCTGGTCGTGAACGAAGAAAATAGGGGCACCAGTCAGTTTTCCTGACTGCCCACCACGGTAGAGCTTGCCGTATCACGGCGCAGGGCACCGTAAAGCGGTGTCCAACACCGTGACACGGTAGATTCTAGTGTGTCGCAGCAGTCCTAAAATCCTTCTAGTGGCTTTTTTTCTCTTCTCACATACAGCTTCCTTCGATTTTTCTGAAAAAACGTGTGTGTTCTACATACGTCTTAGCCCCACATCAAAGGAGACTAGTACCCAAACAAGAGAAATCACAATACACATGGTCTAGGAAAGAGGTTCCGATAGCTATAATGAGAAGTGTACTTATGACGATGTTTAAATCTCTTAAAGTATTCTCATAGGTTGATTTGGTATGGTTCTAAACCAATACTCGTGCAAATGGTTTATGAAAATCATGTCCTTGTAGCACAAGAAACAATGCTATTAATAAAACTACACACTAATGTCAAGTGGTCATTAATCGTCCATCATTTAAATGACATCGATTAGGGATGATTTTCGATTAAAATATTTAAAGTTCACTTATTACGTGTTTCTTTATCCAACATTGGTCTTGATACCATATTTTGAATATTCTATAAATCAAATGGACTCAATATTTAATTCTTAACCACAATTAAATAGTTTTGTGAAATAATTAGGAAAATTTTATTCTAGTATAAAACTTTTCAAAGTTTCATCTTATGATAAATGATTTTTCCAAATGTCTTAAGAGTAATACTCTTAATGAACATTTGTAGAAATAACACCCAAATTTAAAATGAGTGATTTCTTTCATGCAACTGTTAATGTTGTTGTTCTCTTATTGCATAGGTTTAGTTACGATTACTTTGCAAATCCTAGCATGTTAATTATCAATCACTTTCACAATGAACTTTCGATTGAACAAATTTCTTATTATTGCCTTTAAGGAAAAAAGAATATTCTCAACATATATTTCTGTAGACTTTCGAATGGTGCTTTGCTTGGATTTTATTCCAAATGGGTCAGAGTTATTTGAGATACCCTAGTCACTTGTGATCATGGAAATTTACCTTAAATTTCCACCCATTACACATGGATACACGTCCATATTACAATTCTCAAGCTACGACGCATTTTAGCTCGTGCTGATAAATGGCTGACGGGGTGAGTCTAGGTCATTGACTAATCCTCCCTCGGTTAAACTAAATTTGTAAACACTTAATGAACCTAAATACAAGTATAGAGGCAATTCAAGGGTCGAACCAAAGCAATGGAAATATTCAAGCGCTTTCAATATGAGCGCCTAAGCTAGGTCGAAGATAAGGGTAAAGAGGTAACACTAACAACTAACAAACCAAGAACCAAACAAATAAAGCACTAGGAATTGGGATCAACAAGTAATCATGACAATAGTAGCAACTCAAGAACAACATGCAAATCAATGGTTGCGAAGACTAATGGTAAGAGTAATCAAAAGAGCTCGATAAGCTATTTCCTAGAGATCTAATTAGCGCTAAATACGAGGGACACTAACTAGGAACATCACTAACCAAACTCAATCGACAATTGTGAGCTATAAATCAATGGTTTGTATCAATGTAGACTCACAATGCAATCTAGCATAATTCTCAAGGCTTAATTGAATTACAGACATGCACAATTTCAATTAATCACTTTAATCTCAACAATAAATCATCAGAAGTCCTAACTTAAGCACAATCAATCAATCATACAAGTTTTACCCAATCCCTAGTCAAACAACTACTCTAACATCATCATCTAATCAATTAACAACTAAGGAAATCAAGAATCAACAATATATGAAGAACAACTACACTAATCAAGCATCAAACCAAACAACTTGAATATTAAAAAAAGCAATAAAAAGAGATAGAGTTAGAAATGATGACTGATAATAGAGAAGATCTTCAACACAATTTTCACCATTGAAACTTCAATCTCTCAATAACCATTGAAATTCCTCACTTTCTCTCTTTAAAATCTACTCCTAAACTAATTATGATCTAATTGCAATCTCAGTATCTCTAAAAAAATCGGGTTACAAAGGTTTAAATAGGAGGCGCAAAACAAAATCGAGCAAAGGAGGGACCCAAAGGGACGCGCCCGTGCGGCCAGGGAGGCTTGCTCGCGCGAAGTGGTCGCGCGCCGGCACTCCTCTAGGTTTCTTCGGTTCTGCTCAAGGGTTCGGGCGTTTGCAAATGCCTTCGAATGAGTGCACCAAATGATTATCGTGGACACTAAGAGTGGTTGTCCCAAAACACACTTGACAGTGTGTTTCAACATCCCATCTTCATGAGAGCACACCTTGAGAGCGCAAGAGCTAGAACTTGGAGAACCCACTTCCTTGCATCTTGAGCTTTCCTATTGCCATGAGCTTGCTCCAAAATAATCTTACACCTTTGTAATCCATCCATATCAAGCCCCAAACCTCATACAACACCTACAACCATGAAAGGAGAACAAATAAAGGAGAAAACACTAGGAAAACCTTCAAAATGCAATAAACCACAAAGTAAGAAAGAAAAGGTAAAACAAAGAGCAAAAGTATGAAACTAAGCATTTATTTTGAAAGAAAGCTATGAAAAGAAGGTAAAAACAACCTAAATGCTCATCAAATGAGTGCCATTTATGACACTCATCAAATACCCCCAAGCTTATCTTTTGCTCATCCTCGAGGAAAACAAAACCAAGGGAGAAATGATGATCTTATTCAAACAAACAAAAGAAAAAGAGAAGAGACGAGAATATACACTAAGTCACTTTTGTAGGAATCACAGACAATTTTAGCAACAATCGATAAGCCATTTAAACCCCTAGATCGCCCTTAAGGGCGAGTAATGCTCTCTTAAGGGTTTCCTAAGAGATTGACCCATAACTCTCACAAACCAAACAAACAAGGAAAAGCACAAAAAAGAAGCAAAAAGAAAAGTAAAGAAAATAAATGTTCATGAATGAAATGTTTTGCAAATGTGCAAGCATAAATGAATGCAAATCTTTCTAAACAAGTAAGGGTGTGCACGTTCTTAGATATCTAAGGTTGATTGAAACATAGGACATGCTAAGCATAGAGAACTATCAAGACCCTCAAAAGACTTGTAGCACATTCCTCGATTGGCTTCAAATCTACTTTTAGAAAGAATCTATATAGTTCCTTGAAGGAACCGGAAAAACAAATAGATTTGAGGTTTCTTGACGTCTCAAATATTGCATGCCACTCTATAAGCTTGACCAACATCTCCATCCACTCACTTGTGACTCAACCAAAAAGGTCAAAAGCTCCTGAAAAGGGTTGTAATGTAAAGGCGAGAAGGGTGAGTGTAGGTAAAAATTTGAAATTTTGTGGTATACCTAAATCGTGAAGCAAAGATTGGCCAAATCTCAACACCAAAACCAAGTAATCACCAAACAAAAACACATCACCCCCAAGCTAATTCAAAGCTAAGAATGACAAACATATGTACAAAAAGCGTAAGAACGCTTCCCCCAAGCTTGAACAAAGCATTGTCCTCAATGCTTAAAATAGGGAGAAAGAAACTTGCATCAAAATTTATTGATTTCTCTGATTTTTCACTTTTTTCAATTTCTTTTTGCCAAAGATTTTGAATGTGCTTTGCTTTTTCTCATTTTTTTTTTAATTTTTTCACTTTATTCATTTTCCTCGCCTCTTTAACTATGTAAGGATTTTTCAACTTTTTTATTTGCTTTTTATTCACAAAATATTTACAACACAAACTTGCTTTTATTATAAGTACCAAACAATCATTCTCATCCACCAAACCTCCAATATAAAAGACCAAATGCTTCACAAAAACCAATGATAGGGAAAAGAATGAAACAAAAGGCTCAAGATCTAAAGATGTGGCTTGAAAGAAGGGTATATGGCTCGAATGGTTAGCAAGTAGGCAAATGTAAACCCAAAAAGAAGAAAAGTAAACAATCCTAGAAAAAGAAAAATTACCACCCTGAAAAGATGTTGTTGGAGCATAAAGGTTTTGATGATGAGGAACTTAAACTAAAGCAAACTCAACTAATAAAGGTTTTCAAGTGTTTGATTTGTTTAGGTAAATTTGATCGTTGTGATGGAAGAAGTAGCTGGAACTAAGAAGCCATGAAAAGATCTTTATTGAAGGAGTTAAACAAATCAGAAGAAGAGTTCTCTCACAAGAACTGAGTTCCCTAACAGGAACGTTCCCTAAGAGAAACTTGAAGACAACAAGCTTAAGTTCTTTGGTGGAACTTAATAAGCTTGGAGCCCAAGTAATCTACCTGATTAAAAGCGCGGCGCAACAATTATATTTAGTTAAGGTTTTTATCTTCTAGATTATTGTTAATATGATAAGTAGGTTATTGCGCGAAATTTATTAGAAGTGTGACAAGTTGGCTAGGTAAATAAAATAATATAGAAAATTATAAAAGATAGATTTTAGGAAAGGATTTTCTAAAAAGATTGTTTTCTTTAAATCATTTGTTAAAAAGATAAATCTTTTTAATAAATATCTTTTTAATCTTATTTTCCGAAAAAGTTTTTATTCCACTTAATTTACATAAAACCGTGTTTAAAGATAAGTTAAGTTAACTTATTTATCTTTTAGAAAACCTACTTTCTATACGAGTGATACTTGTATAAATAGTAGAGAGCAAAATGGTTTTAGGTTTTTGTGAGTTTATGCGTGGAGAAATCACAGTGCTATAATTGAGTAAGTTTACCAAGCTTCTAACTTGTCATATTAGTTTCAGATTTCGTGCATTGCTTACCTATCATACTAGGTGTCGTTCACTTGTATTGGGTTGGGTTATTTGGGTGAGTTTATTGTTTGCTTTACATACAGTTTTGTAAGCTTCGAGGTGAGGCTGAGAATTATGTACTTAGGTGGTGCAAGTAATTTGTACTATGGCAGTACGTGTAGTACTTTGGTGGTACGAGTAATTCTAAGTGTGGTACTTAGATTGGGTAGGATAGGGTCCTATCAAGTAGCAAGTCCAGTGAGGATCTTGTGAAAATAAAGGTTTGTGTCTAATAGGTTGTAACTTGGTGTTTTCCCAATCATAGTGGAGTTTGTATGTTTGAAATCCCTAAGGCAGGGTCGAGGTTTTACTTCCAGTTAGGCCTTGGAAGGTTTCCTCGTAAAATCTGTGTGTTCTAGCAAGTTCCTATATGCATTGTTTATTATTCCGCAAAAAGTAGTCATAAGGAACTCAATACAATTCACCCCCCTCTTGTATTAATCGTCTCAACTAACAGTTGGTATTAGAGAAAGGTTCTCACATGTAAGCAGATAACTTTGCTGAGTAAGTTCCTGGAGTGATGAATTACAAGGAGAAACTTGAAGAAGGGTATTCCACCCAACGTTCACCCATGTTCAATGATAAGTTTTACACCTACTGGAAGAACATGATAGAGATTTTTATCAAGGCTGAAAATTACCAGGTTTGGCGTGTTATCGAAACTGGTGATTTTGAAATAACTGCAACTAATGATAAGAACGAGGTAGTTCCTAAACTTATTTCTGATTATGATAAGGAATATTATCATAAACTTGAATTGAATGCTTTAGCTATAAAGTATTTGCACTGTGGACTTGGACCTCAGGAACATAATCGTATCATGGGATGCAAGTCTACTAAACAGATTTAGGATCTACTAGAGGTAACTCATGAAGGTACTAATGAGGTAAAACGTTCTAAGATTGATTTATTAATGTCTAGATATGAAAGGTTTGAAATGCAATCAAAGGAATCTATAGAGGAAATGTTTACTAGGTTTAATGACATTATTAATGAATTGAATTCCCTTGGAAGACACATTCCTATTGATGAACAAACAAGAAAGATCTTAAGGAGCCTACCACAAGATAAGCGATGGAGATCCAAGGTTACTGCCATGCAAGAAGCCAAGGACTTCACGAAGTTTAACATGGAACAACTAGCTGGATCATTGGTGACTCATGAACTTCACCTGAGTTCCAATACTGAAAGATCCAAGAACAAGAGTCTTGCTCTTAAGAGGAAGATCAACCGTTAGAGGAAACTGCGCATCTAAACTTGATGGCAAAAACTAATGAAAAAGCAAAACTGACGGAAATAGAATCCGAGGTATGGTTTTCTCAAAAAGAACTTAGACATTTCTCTAAACAAAACTTAATATTTGTTGTTTTAGAAATTCAAGAAGAATTGAAAGAATTGCATAGAGCTAAATAGAAAAGTGATGAAGCTTTGGTAACTTTTAAAGAAAACAGTGATTGGATTGATAATATGAAATTTGATATTCAATATAAATTCTTTAGTCTGTTTGATGATAATAATTATTTGAAAGAAACTATAGACAGGTTGAAACATGATAACATAATGCTAAATGTGGAACTATCCTTGATGAAACTCTGTCTTAATACTCCTAATTCTGAAGTTCCGCCACTTGCTCAATATCCGAATTTTGAAAAACTAAAATCTGATTTGGAAGATATATAAGCAGATAAGGCAAGACTTGAGGGGGAACTTGAGAAATCCAGGAAAGGTAAACAACCTGTAGGATACAGAGTTCCAGTTTGGATCACCAAAGCTCAAACTAAAAGAACAGAAGGTTTGGGTTTCAAAAAGAAGTTTCAAAAGGAAAAGAAGTATGTTGACCTACCTAGTAGTATTGTTTGTTATTTCTGTGGCAGTACTGGACACAAACAGGTTAAGTGTCCTAAGAAAGAAAAGAGTACACAGAAAAATGAAAAACATGTAGAACAGATTTGGATCAAGAAGAATGATGAACCTACTGTTGTTACACAGGAACCCAAGGAAACCTGGCTTCTTGAAACTAACATTTGATTTCTCATGCAGATTCCAGTGAGGGGGAACAACACTTGTTACCTCGATAGTGGTTGTTCTAAGCACATGACTGGAGACAAATCTAGATTTATCTCACTAGATGCCTACTATGGGGGAACTGTGACCTTTGGTGATAACATGACAGGAGTTATAGTTCCTATTGGCAAAGTAGGAAGGTCAAGTTCCCATGCAATTGATAATGTATTTTTGGTTGAGGGCCTCAAGCACAACTTGTTAAGTATTTCACAATTTTGTGACAAAGGTAACTCTGTAAGCTTTACTTCCAATAAGTGCAGAATCATTCACAATGACACTGGGAACATTATTTTAGAAGGAAATCGTAAAGGGAACACATATGTTGTGGATCTTAACGAGGTTCTTAATACTAGTTTAACTTGTCTTAGTATCATTTAGAATGATCCTCTATTATGGCACAAGAGATTTGGCCGTGAAAGCTTTACTTTACTTGATAAATTGAGATCTAAGGAACTAGTGGAAGGATTTCCTTGCATTAAGTTCCTGTATGAAAAGGTGTGTGATGCTTTTGTTAGTGGAAAACATACTCGAATTTCTTTTAAGTCTATGAAATTGGTAAGCACAAAAAGACCTTTGGAACTTGTTCATATGGATCTATGTGGTCCTATGAGAATCCAAAGCACAAGTGGTAAGAGATATGTTATGGTTATTGTTGATGACTTTTCAAGGTTTACTTGGGTTTTCTTTCTTGTTAGTAAAGATGAAACGTTTGATGAATTTGTAGCTTTTGTAAAGAAAGAACAGAGAAGAACAGGTAATCCACTTATTCACCTCAGATCAGATCATGGAACTGAATTTAAAAATTTAAAATTTGATGAATTTTGCACTGAGCATGGAATGGATCACAACTTCTCTGCCCCAAGGACCCCACAAAAAAATGGAGTGGTGAAACGCAAGAATAGAAGCCTTGAAGACATGGCTAGAACAATGCTGATCTCAAGTGGTGTGCCTAGGAACTTCTGGGCAGAAGCAGTGAATACAGCATGCTATATTCTTAATAGAGTATCAGTTAGAGCCATCACCAACAAAACTCCTTATGAGCTAATCAAAGGGAGAAAACCAAATATTTCTTACTTTAGATATTTCGGTTGTAAATGCTTTGTTAATAATAATGGTAAAAGAAACTTAGGAAAGTTTGATGAACGTAGTGTTGAGGCAGTATTCTTAGGATATGTCTCTAATAGTAAAGCAATATAAAATTTATAAGAAAAGGACAATGTATGTTGAGGAATCTGTACATATCATATTTGATGAAACTAAACAATTGAATGATGTACAAGATTGTGATGATGATTTTGAAATTGGACTTGTACGCAAGACGGATGCAGAAGAAGAATCAACATCATTGCAGAAGCAGCAAGTTAAAATTGCTGAGCAAACAAATCCTGAAGCAAATGAAGATCAAGAAATGGAGAATGCACCAAGAACTCCTCCTCAAGAACAGAATCAAAATTAGAATGAGGAAGATCCTGTTGAAGTTCCAATTGAGGCTCAAGAACGAGTTCCTACAGAAAAACCAATCAACAATGATCAGGAAAGATTGTATCCAGTAAAGGACTTTACACCTAAGCAACGAAAATATCAGAAGTCACATCCTGTAGATACAATCATGAGTTATATTACAAAAGGAACTCAGACCAGATCTCAGCTTAGAAACTTATGTGCATCTATGCATTCCTCTCTTCTGTGGAACCTAAGAACTATGTTGAAGCTTTAACTGACGCAGACTAGATTAATGCTACGGAAGCTGAACTAAATGAGTTTGAAAGAAATAAAGTCTGGCATCTGGAACCTAGACCCAAGAATAAGAAGACTATAGGTTTAAAGTGGGTGTTCAGAAATAAGCTAGATGAGCATGGGATTATTGTCAGAAACAAAGCAAGACTTGTTGTACAAGGTTTCAATCAACAAGAAGGAATAGACTATGAAGAAACATTTGCTCCAGTAGCCAGGTTAGAGGCTATTCGTTTACTTATTCCTTTTGCTGCTTATATGGGATTCACGTTGTTCTAGATGGATGTTAAATGTGCATTTTTAAATGGATTTCTAAATGAAGAGGTCTATGTGGAACAACTTCCTGGATTTGAAAATTCAGAGATCCCAAACCATGTCTACAAGCTTGACAAAGCTCTTTATGGGCTAAAGCAAGCTCCTAGAGCATGGTATGAAAGATTGTCAAAGTTCCTATTACAAAATGGTTTTAAATGTGGTAAAATAGATAAGACTTTGTTTTTAAAATAAAATGGAACTTACATATTAGTTGTACAAGTTTATGTTGATGATATTTTATTTGGTGCAACTAATGAATATTTGTGCAAGTATTTTGCTGACCTTATGAGTGGAGAGTTTGAAATGAGTATGATGGGAGAATTAAATTTCTTCCTCGGGTTGCAAATCAAGCAAACTAAAGAAGGAATCATGATCCATCAACAAAAGTATATCAAGGAACTGATCAAGAAATACAAGCTTGAAAATGCTAAGACCAATGATACTCCAATGGATTTAGCAACTAGATTGGATGAAGATCCGACTGGAACTTGTATTGATCAACCTATGTATCGAGGTATGATAGGATCTCTACTTTACCTAACAGCTAGTAGACCTGACATATCTTTCAGTGTAGGTTTGTGTGTTAGGTTCCAAGCAAACCCAAAGGAGTCTCACCTGAAAGCAGTAAAGAGAATTCTTAGATACTTGAAAGGGATTGATGACTTGTGTCTCTTTTATCCTAGAAGTGACTCATTTGATTTAAATGGCTTTACTGATGCTGACTATGCAGGTGATTTGGTTAATAGATAAAGCACTTCAGGTTTGGTACAGTTATTAGGACCTTGTTTAGTTTCTTGGGGTTCCAAGAAGTAAAACACGGTTGCATTATCTACAGCTGAAGCTGAGTACATGGCAGCAGAAGCATGTTGTTCACAGGTACTCTGGATAAAGCAATAGGTTAGAGATTTTGGTCTTATTTTTGAGTGTGTTCCTATTTACTGTGATAACAAAAGTGCTATATGTATTTCTAAGGATCCAGTTCAGCACTCTAAGATAAAACACATCCACATTAGGCATCACTTTCTAAAAGATAATGTGAAACAAGGGAATATTAAATTGAAATTTTGTAATACAGAATATCAACTTGCAGATATTTTGACCAAACCCTTGAACAGAGAAAGATTTGAGAAATTGAGACTGGAACTTGGGATGATCAAGCTGAATTGATTGCTTCTGAAGTTCCAAGATATGGCAAAGTCAAAAATATTGGAAATAGAGCAAAAAGAGTATTTGGCACAATTATGATGTGCTAAACATAGCTGAAGTGTCACCGTTGTTAATTACTAAAGGTAAGTTCATTAAATTGCTTAACTATGTAAGTTATTAAATATGTACATTGCACATATGTAAAAAGCGTGTTCCAATTGTGTATTTATAGAAATTTTCTTTTAAATTAAATGAATTCGGAAATTAAAGTATTTTGGCAAATTCATCCTGTGAATTTAAAATTGGAAAAATTAATTGAATTTGTTCAATTAATGAATGAATAGTAAAATCTTTTAAAATCCCTCACACCGCTTCATAATTATAAAAGCTGATTTCACCTACCTCTTTCACCTCACTGTCAAAATCAATTAACCTTGTTCCAGTAAAAATCCTCTTGAATTTTAAAAACCATCCCTAGAACAACAATGGTCATCATTGCTGAAATCGTCTCATCCGAAAACTCTCAAAGCTTCGAAAACACCATTCAAGTGGAAACATCGCCTTTAGCCATGGTGAACTACAAACCTTCTTCAACTTCAACCAAAACCCCTGAGAATCCTAAAACCTCATCTCCAAAACCTAAAGAAGTGGAAAGTAAGAATGATCAAGAAGAGTCATCTATTTCAAGTGTCCTTCAAAGGCTGAAAGAGTGGAAAGAAAAGAAACAAAGAGAGAAGTCTCTTGAGGAGCAAATTGAAGAAGTTGACGAGTTTTCTCAAGAAAAACATTCAGAAGAGACCAAAGAAGATGACGAAGAAGGGGGAGAGATGAACACTACGTGAAAAAATGTATTTGGCACCGGTTCAAACCCGGCCTAAGGCACCGGTTTGAACCGGTGCCAATTTGGGGGGTGCCAAAAAGGGGTTTAAAAAGGCACCGGTTCAAACCGGTGCCAAAACTTGAAATTGGCACCGGTTAACCGGTGCCAAAAATGGGTTTAAAAAAATGTGGAGTGCCAAAAATGGGTTTAAAAAAAATGTGGAATTGTTTTTGGCACCGGTGCCAAATATTATAATTTTTTTTTTAGAACAGCAAACAATTAAAAATCGACTTAAAATATTTTGAACATCAAAATATAGATCGAATTTCAATCAACATAATAAAAAATTTACAATATATAATCAAAACAATTTTACAATATAGATCAATAAAGTAGTAGTTCAATTACAACATATAAAAAAAATTCGAATGATTAATATAATTAAGCTTCCATCTTGCTCAATATAAAAAAAATTTCGAACGATTAATATAATTACAATATATAAAAAAAATTACAATATAAATAAAAAAATAAACTCAATATTCTTGCATCTTGCTTCTTCCATTTAAGATCTAACTCAAGATACCTGCACCAATTAAAGCAAAAACAAAAAGCGATTAATATAATTAAGCTTCCAAAAAAATTAAACCCAGAAAAAATAAAAAATAAAATCGAATAAAATAAATATAAAAAAAAAATCGAATAAAATAAAAAAAATCGAAAAATAAAAAAGAAAATCAGTTGGTAAGAAAAAAAAAACCTGAACATCATTTAAAAACCAAAATTGAACCCAGAAATTAAAAACCAAAATCGGAAATCTGGAAAAAAAACTCAGAAAATAAAAAAATTTCGAATTTAAATCGAAAATTAAAAAAGAAAATCCCAAAACAAACCCAGAAAAAATCTTGCATCTTTAACGGATCTAAATCAAGTAAAAAAAATCAACAAACCCAAAAACGCATGCATTAACCCCGAAATCGAAAAAAAAAAAATCAAAATAAAAAAAAACAATCGAAATTGAAAAAAAAAAAACCCAGAAATAGAAAAAAAAATCAAAATCGAAATCAAAAAAATTAACCCAGAAAAATTCCCAAATCGAAAACACCCAGAAATAAAAATAGTTGAACTCGGAAAAAAATTGAAATCGAAAGAAAAATCAAAAACCCAGAAAAAAAAAATTAAAATCGTAACAAAAAAAACTGAGAAATCGCTGAAAAAAAAATCAAAATCAATTGAAAGAAGAGTTTGAAATTAAAAAAATCAAAATCGAAAAAAAAAACTATTAAATTCGATTGAAAAACCTCAAAATCGATTGAAAAACCTCAAAATTCGTGTTGCATGTTGTTGTCTTCGAATTTGTTGGTGGTTTTCGAGTGATGATAGAAAGGAGGAGGAGATCCAGAAAGATAAATGAAGGAGAGGAGAGGAGAACGGCGACGCGAAAGTGGAGGAGAGGAGAGAGAAAGAGGAGGAGGAGGAGAGAGAAAGATGAGAGGAGAGGAGAGAGAACGGTCGAAACATTTAGGGTTTGGGGTAGTTATAAGGGCGGTTTTTTATTAATATGTAAATGAACCGGTTCGTAAAGGCACCGGTTCAAACCGGTGCCCTTTTTATTATTGGCACCGGTTTGGGCTGAACCGGTGCCTTTTCTATTTGTTTAAAAACCCGCCCAATTTTGGGCCGATTTTTGGCACCGGTTTGGCCTGAACCGGTGCCATATGGGGGGTGCCTAATGCTATTTTTCTACTAGTGGAATGAGGGAGAGGAAGACAAAGAAGATCCCAACATTTTAGAAAAGGAAGAATCAGAAAAACAAGATGAAGAAGAGGAGGTAACTGATCATGCCCAACTTGAGTCACAGGCAGGGAGGTATGTTGTAGGACATCGTATTGATCTAGATTGGTGTAGGAAAGCTAGATTCCTAGAGTTTCTTGATTTGATTAAGTTTCAAGGCTGGGAATACTTGTTGTCAAAAGTTTCAGCAAACTATTTGTATCTAATTGCTATGACCGAGTTCTGTCAAAATTTTTTAGCAAAATTGGGGGTAAATTCTAGTGTAGTTGATGGTGTAAAAATTGAATTAAATGTTGAAACCCTAGGTAAAATTCTGAAAACTCCGACTGATGGGTATGAAACATACATTAAGGGAAAAGCTAGTGTCAAAGTAGGAAATTACTTGACT